AGATGTGTTGATCCAGGACAAGAAGGGAAGGTATGCAGACTTAAAAGATCTCTTTATGGCTTGAAACAAGCTCCTAAGCAGTGGTATGAAAAGTTTCACAAAACTTTGTTAGAGCTAGGTTATTCCACTAACCGCTCAGATGCCTGCTTATACACAAAAGAGGTAGAGTCTAACATCGTAATAATCTGTCTCTATGTAGATGACATGCTTATCTTTAGCTCAAGTATAGGAGCTATAAAAGAGACTAAAAGAACTCTATGTGACAAATTTGATATGAAGGATCTAGGGGAGGCTGATGTAATACTCGGGATAAAGGTTACAAAAACTGAGAAAGGTTATCTTTTATCCCAAAGTCATTACACGGAGAAACTCCTGAAGAGGTTTGAGAGTTATGAAGTAACTCCAGCTAAAACCCCCTATGATCCCAACGTCAAATTATCAAAGAACATAGATGCCGGTGTGTCTCAAGAAGAATATGCAAAGATCATTGGGAGTCTAATGTTCTTGATGAACTATACTAGACCAGATCTTACATTTGCTGTGAATAAACTCAGTCGGTATACTCACAACCCTGGTATCTCACATTGGGATGCACTGAGAAGGGTACTTCGGTACTTAAGAGGCACGATGGACTGGGGCCTTAACTATAAAGGACACCCAGCTGTGCTCGAAGGGTTCTGTGATGCCAACTGGGTAAATGACGTTGATGACGTAAGCTCAACTAGTGGATATGTGTTCACTATGTGTGGAGCTGCAATATCATGGAAGTCGACCAAACAGTCCTGTATAGCCAGATCAACTATGGAATCAGAGTTCATAGCACTAGATCTAGCAAGTCAGGAAGCCGAATGGCTGAGAAATTTATTGGCAGACGTGCCATTGTGGGGGTGCCCTGCACCTGCTGTTCCCATACATTGTGATTCCCAGACTGCCATCTGTGTTGCGCAAAACAGTGTCTACAATGGGAAACGTAGACACATAAGAGTCAGACATGAGTCTGTAAGGCAGTTGATACTAAATGGGGTAATCACAATGGTTTTTGTGAGATCTGAAAGGAATGTTGCAGATCCTTTCATGAAGGGCCTAAATAGAAAGGCTATCCTTGATACATCAAGGGAAATGGGTCTGGAACCCACATGCTCTGTAGCCAATCATGGTGGTCTACGCTGAGGTAGACTTGACAGAGTTGAAGGTCTACACTGAAATAGACCTGATAAGGGATAATTCAGGGTCAAGAGTATGACCGCACATATCTCAAGGCAACCAAAGCAAGTTAAGTGCGTTAAGTTCAAACTTTGTCTATTCGATGAGTTCAAGATTAAATTCACTCCCGTTTAGAGAAGTACTTAATGTCACTATATGACAGTTCAAGTTTTATACACTGGCATGAAAATTTGTTTTGGTCGTATTCAGGCAATGTCAATACCAGCCTAATCCCTTTTCATGGTGGGGGATTGTTGGGAGCATTTAAAGGGAAAAGGCTTATGTTGGCTTATCCAAGTTGTCCCACATTGATAGTTTAACCGCTCTTTTCCCTCCTTATATACTCCAAGTCCTTTGAGATGGTTTGAAGTGTTATGAGAAGGGAAAGGAGGTAAACCACGCGCGCGCCGCCGCCGCCCGCCCGCCCCGACGTGTGGTGCGGTCAACGTTTTGCTCTCAAACAATTTTTTCTTCCATTAGTGACCTTGTCTGCACAACATAGTGAATGTGCGTACAGGGATGGTCTTCACTGGTTTGTGGTCCTATTTTTATGGATAGTGAATGGTTGGCTATTGCACATAGTATGCTATATAAAGGTGATCTTATGTTGTTAAAGTGCAAAAAAGGGTCTGTTCGAACTGCTGTGCTGCTTCGCATATATTATTCTACATATCTGCTTCGTGTATATATATATATATATATATATATATATATATATATATATATCAGCTTCCAGTTCGAACAACACAGTGAAACACCACCTTTATATATACCTGCCTGAGAGTCCGCTCTGTTTTGTCGGTCGAAAGCATACGACTCAATCCCTGGTCGTGAATGTTTTTAAGGCAGTGTGTTACACACGATACAGAACCTTAGCCTTTGTTTTTCATCCCCAAACCTAACATTCACAGTGCAGGAAAATTCCAACAGACTTTGTGGCAATGACAATGACGACGGCACTGTTGTGGTTGATGTGTAGAATAGTGTGATGTTGGAAAAAAGTTGGAAGCTTGTGGTAAATTTGTGGTTAAGCTAGTTCTTCATTTTGTTGTGTCAACTGGTACGATCTTAAAAGAGAAATGCAAAACATGAATAAGTCCACGATTTTCATCGCCGTCAACGTCGAATCAGTGAACTTCACGAAATAAACTGTGGTGAATCCTCCACTGCTTACAGAGCCTGTGTGATCGGGTCTCGGCGCTAAAACTGGAGTTTGACCAGTTATAGCTGGAGAAGAAGAAGACAAAAGTTGGGGACAAAAAGTACACCTGGACGCCGGAGATCAAGAGTTCGGAGGAGGATGGGTTTGACCGGAAGTACAAATGGGTGGTGAAGATTAACGACGACCGACGGGGGGAAGGGAGCGCCGGAGAAGAGCTACAAGTTGACGGCTGAGATCAAAGGAGAGGGGGAGGGCGAGAAGACTGTGTTGACTACATGTGTTGATGAAAAAATAAAAGTAAAAATCCATGTCAGCAAATTATAACCTGCAACCTATAAGTAACCTGTAAAAAGTTCTAGATGAATTTTTATTTTTGTTGGTTTGTGCATCTAATTAGCACTTATGAAAGACTAGGGTGCGGCATGAAAAATCGCTATTGGTTCATAGTGCGGAATGACACTTTAGCTAACAAAATAATTATGTTTTGTGAACTTATTTAATACATAGCAGAGATAATTTAAAATAGGAAAACAATGAAGTATTATAACATTTCAGAAACAACCATGCATGCAATATGACTTCCATTATATTACTATACTAGTCTTTTCTATGCGCGATGCACAAAAACATATGTCTAATATTATATCTTTTAAAATAACTAAAAAATCCCTACTAATTAAAATCTATATTAAATCAAATTTATTTATTATAATAATTTAATATATAATGCCTATAATAATAATATTATTATTATTAAAGAATATAAGAAAATATATGGTGGATGCATGTGCATGATTACAATAATAGAAAAGATAACGGAAGTTATAATTGTATGAGTATTTTTGTCCAAAAATTTATATAGTAACTGTAAAAGCATAATGTACAAAATGATTAGCATTAAAAATATGGATATAAATGAGGGATATAACTTTAATTGAGACTTATTATGTTTTTTGATATGTTATTTGAATATTTTTTAATTATTTATTTTCCATCTTCTCCCAAAAGGTTGAATTCCCAATCCAAATGGCACCCACACTCTGACCCGACAGTGCATATGAGAGGATGTAAATCACGATGACTCAATGATTCAGCAGATAGGACCAAATGCTGGTGCGCAAAAAAAATCTGCCCAATTTATTTTCCATCTTAGACAGATTGTTGATTGATTTTTTTTTTTTTTTTGGGGCGATGATTTACAGTTTGGAATTTAGTTGAGATTCGGTGTGTGAACCTCGGAAATCCCAACTTCCTTGTGTCACAGCCCTCGGGAAGGGCTGCTGTATGCCACTCGCCGCCGGTACTAATTTATTTATTTAATATTTTTATTTGTAATAATAATAATAATAATAATAATAATAATAATAATATACGGAGAACTTATTAAAAAAAAATTATTTCTTTTTTTTTTTTTGAAGAAAAAAAAATTATTTCTAATTTTCCTTTATGACATAACACTATGAGGTCAGTTAGTTATTACTTTGTGTACTAGATAAATATTGCCCTTTTGTGATCTTAGCTATCAAACTAATTTAAGCTATTTGTAGCTAACTAGCTTAAATTAAGAATGAAAATATGTTACTTTTTCTAAGAATCAAAATTGAAATCTTGTGATTACCAAACTAACATCAACCAACTTGGATAAAGTTATCTTATTATTTGGGAATAATGTATTGAAAGAAGTGCAATTTTGGTCATTATTGTTAATGTTTATATTAGTAGTTTTTATCTCTAACTATTATGAGTAAGTAAATATTATCATTGATTATTTCAAATCGTTGTGATTTTAGTCTTTTTGCTAACACTAATAAAATTATATTATTGATTACAAATTTATATAATATAATATTATCTTACTCGATCCAGTTTATCAATAGAGAAGTCTTTCATATATATATATATATATATATATATATATATATATATATATATATAACACATTACAATGATTTAACAATTGAATTGAATATGATACCTTTTTTTCTATAGAGACCAAAAATTTGTCATGACAATGTAAATATAGTTTTTTTTTTTAACATTAAGTGGGATCAAAAAATTCATAATATCCAATAAATAAAAAAATTATTATCAAAAGAGTTCTAAATGCACTTCCAAATCTTACTATCTAAAATTATTCTTGACGTGGACGATGCTCGAACAACAAATTTGAATCATATCATAGAATTGGCGACCAAGTTTCATTATCAGAAGTTTGAAATTTACGGTGACGCTAGTCAATGGTATCAAGAACATGAAGTGTGTCTCAAATCTAATGATAGTAGGAGTCTCATTAAGCTACTTGTTCATGTGAGTCAATGTAAGTGTCTATATCAAGATTGTGTAAAAGTTCATTAAGCTACTTGTTCATGTGAGTCAATGTAAGTGTCTATATCAAGATTGTGTAAAAGTTAATAGTAGAAAATGAGATTAGAAAATATTTTCTTTCAAAAATTTTGGTCCGGTAAACTTTATCCATTCAATTATTGTACTCCTTAATTGGACAACGTAAAAAAGATAAAAGATTCGTCCAGTGTCCACATCAGCGCCTATATTTTCTGATTCGGAGGCGGGTCCCACACAACACCTATATAAAGGCCAGATCAGATAAGTCGTCGTCTTGTCCATGCAACTATCTCTCCCCGTAATCACACCTCATTTTCCCAGAATTTGCAGAAAAAGCTCTGTAACTCCGGCGACTAGGATCGGAGCAAAGCGACTAATAAGAACAATGACGGTGGGCTGCGTTTACAAAGACCCAAACGCTCCGGTGGAGGAGCGAGTGAAAGACCTTCTGTCCAGGATGACTCTCGAGGAGAAAATCGGCCAAATGGCTCAGATTGAACGCCTGGTTGCCACTCCCTCCGCCATCACTCATCGTTTCATAGGTACACAACAATAATGCCCTTTTTCTATCTTCGCTATTATACTTTTTAGAGTCGGTTAATCGTGGGTAATTTTGTAGGGAGTTTGTTGAGCGGAGGGGGGAGTAATCCGTCGAAGAATGCAGCGTCGGAGGAGTGGGCAGACATGATTGATGGGTTCCAGAAGGCGGCGATGGAGACCCGGCTGGGCATTCCCATGCTCTATGGGATTGATGCAGTACATGGGAATAATAATGTTTATGGCGCCACCATTTTCCCCCACAATATAGGCCTGGGAGCTACCAGGTATATCAACTATTAGCTTAGACTTTTAGTTGAGATGTCAATTTGGTTTCAAACCCGATAAGCGACTACGGTCCACGTGTTGCTTATTGAAACAAGTTTGATGCTTTAATTTATTGAGTGAAGACGGAAATCCGTAGCAACTACTTGAGAGTGTCCGTTATGGTCTCATTGAAAGTCGAGCTGAGTTTGTAACCCTCAGGGTTACAAAGGGTTATCCGAGGATGTGTATTAGGTAAACCCGTCTTGAACTATTCTGCATAGTTGATCAGGTCAAATCAAGAAACATTGTAATCACCAAGTTGAAAGTTTAACCAATTTGACTGGGGTTGACCCCAGATTGATGCTTTATTGATGATATGAAATATTGAAATGTGGTTTTCAGGGATGAAGATTTAGTGAGAAGGATAGGGGTAGCAACAGCTCTTGAAGTCAGGGCTAGTGGAGCTCAGTTTGCTTTTGCTCCTTGTGTAGCAGTAAGTAGCAAGAATTCATTTTAATTATTCCTAAATCTGCTAATTATTATCCCTTCTTGGAAACTGAAGAAGTTAAGATTCAGTTTGATGAATAATAGATAGAGTTGTCATATAAATCAAAGATTCATCATGATGTGGTTAATGCAAGGCCTTCTTGAATCTTAGCTAGACAGATCACATTTTCTCTTTAATTTTCATTTCCATTTCGGGTCATGAATTCCCATAATGTTTTTGTGTGATATATAACAGGTTAGTAGAGACCCTAGATGGGGAAGATGCTACGAGAGTTACAGTGAAGACACCGAAGTTGTAAGGAAATTGAGCTCTCTCGTTACAGGTTTGCAAGGCGAGGTGCCCAAGGGACACCCGAATGGCTACCCTTTTGTTGATGGAAGGTAGAAAAAGTCATTGATCTTTTGTTGTTGTTGTATTTATATGGTCTGTTAATGATCAACTTACAATGTTTACCTTATCTGAGTATCCAGAAACAAAGTTGTTGGTTGTGCCAAGCATTTCGTGGGCGATGGGGGGACTGATAAAGGCAAAAACGAAGGAAACGCCATAACATCATATGACGATTTAACGAATGTTCACTTGGCACCATATCTCGACTGCTTGTCTCAAGGAGTTTGTACTGTCATGGCATCCTATTCCAGCTGGAATGGAAGGAAAATGCACTCTGACCATCACTTTCTGACCGAGATTCTGAAACATAAACTGGGATTTAAGGTAGATTTAATTTGTCTCTCCGATCCGGCCTATTTGTGATTCGCATATGCTAAACTGTGTGAAATACCCTGCAGGGCTTTCTGATAACAGATTGGGAAGCGCTCGATAGGCTTAGTGACCCTTATGGCTCAAATTACCGCGAATGCATCTTGTCTGCAATCAATGCCGGGATAGATATGGTAGGTGTGGGCATAGAACCATTAATGTGCAATCCAACTATCAGCTTAGGCTTTTAGTTGAGATGGAACACATGCTTCAATTTGGTATCAGAGCCAAACCAAAGGTCACCATTGCTTTGGCTTTAAGTTGAGATGGAACACATGCTTCAATTGAGATGATGAGATTGATCGAGCTTTAATTTGTCCTTACACAACCTAAGTAGGGCTGATTTGAATGGTGCTTGCAGGTCATGGTGCCTTTTAGGGTCGACTTATATCTGGACGAGCTGCTGTGTTTAGCAGAGTCGGGGGAGATACCAATGGCCAGGATTGACGACGCTGTTGAAAGGATCTTGAGGGTCAAGTTCATCTCGGGAATATTCGAGCATCCATTTGCAGATAGATCTTTACTAGAAATAGTTGGCTGCAAGGTATTCCCAGATATTGCAATTCTTATTCTCTGCTACTTCAAAATCTGGATAATGTTACGAAATGGAACATTCTAAGTCTTGACTATGTTGTTGCAGGAACATAGAGAGCTGGCTCGGGAAGCTGTCCGAAAATCCTTGGTTCTGTTGAAGAACGGGAAGAATCCCGAGAAACCATTTCTTCCATTAGACAAGAATGCGAAGAAGATCCTTGTTGCAGGAACTCATGCCGATGATCTTGGTTACCAATGTGGTGGCTGGACTTCTACTTGGGAGGGATCCAGTGGCAGAATCACAATTGGTGAATATTTCTTATAGCTTGTTATAATCTAAGATTGGGCTAAGGTCACTTAACTGGGCTATAATGCACATGAGCCAAACCATAGTATAACACTGAATCCAATCAATTAGCTAGTCTGACTCATGACCTTATAAACCCATATGTTTCTCACTTATTTTTCCATAGGGACAACCATTTTGGATGCAATCAAAGAAGTCATGGGAGAGGGCACAGAAATAGTGTTTGAGCCAAATCCAGCACCAGAAACCTTTGATGGACAAGATTTCACTTTCGCCATCGTGGCTGTTGGAGAGACGCCTTATGTTGAAACCGGGGGCGATAATCCACACCTCACGATTCCACTAAACGGGCCAGAGATCGCGAGCTTGGTTGCGGACAGGGTTCCCACAGTGATGATTCTGATCTCGGGAAGGCCAATGGTTATAGAGCCACAGGTCCTGGATAAGGTAGAGTCCCTGGTTGCTGCTTGGCTGCCTGGAAGTGAAGGAAATGGGATAACTGATGTTCTGTTTGGGGACTATCCATTCCAAGGCAAACTGCCTATGACATGGTTTAGAACAGTTGATCAACTGCCATTCCATGCTCAAGAGAATCCCATTGACCCACTGTTTCCTTTCGGGTTCGGGCTGACAGCCTAACCAGGATAAACGGATGAGATTCCCGAAAATGTTACATTCCTCGTATTGTTTCAGTTGGGAGTAATTTCTAACTGCATTGTTTTCTTGCTTCAAATTGAAGAAGCCAATCAACTTAAAGCTAAGATTCTGTATTCTTTTCAGTTTGTACTGAAACATTACCAATTTTTACATTAATGTCAAAAGTAAGATTGTTTGTCTTTGATTCTTGAAAAGATATAAGGTTGGATCCTCTGATAACTGAAGAAACAATGGACCTGTTAGCCCATGCAAGGACTGAAACTTTATTCCAAGAATTTCCCAAGCCCATGACTCCCACTCACTTTTCTTTGACATACGGAAACGCGTAATCACTACGCGAAGGTATGTTTTGAGTAAAGTCTGATCTGTTTTGTGACTACAACAAAAGATTATAAAGTGGTAATAAACCAACAAAAATTATAACTAGTTCAAATAAAAAAAGTCAATAAACAACTCATATAATGTAATTTTGTAGTTATCAAACTAACTGTCCTACTAACATGGCTTAGAAATATAAAATATACAAAAAATTCGCAATCACTACTGGACGGTGTGTTAGGATGAAGTCTGTTTTGTGACTCTAGTCAATAAAAGATCACAAAGAGATAAACTAATTTAGATTATGACTAGTTCAAACTAACAACTTATATGATGTAGTTTTGTGGTTATCAAACTAACATTGCAATTCACCAACATGGCTTAGAAATATAACATGGGAAAGAGTAGGAAAAGAGTGAGTCCGTGTGACAAGTGTCAGGACGTGAGTGGCTGTGGAGAAGACGAAAATTGAAATAAAATTCACCAAAGTCATAAATTTCATTGGAGGTACGGTGCAAGTTGCAGTAATGGTTGTGGTGGCTAAGTAGTGGTGTCATTTGATGTAACAAAGCCTGAGCTAGCAACTTAAAGCAGTCACGCTGACGTCACCACAAGATGATTTATTTGGAATAAAAGTTAATACTAAATGTATAATGACATGAAAAAAAACCATGGAGCAATGCAGAAGAATGATGGAAATAGAAGAGAGAGAAGGATTGTGCATGTTTATTGCGAGCAGAACATATTTGCGGATAAATTAATCAAGTTGATAGTAAATAGTAATCAGGAATGAATGGAATTTGATAATTCCTTCCTGGATGCGGAACCTTAGTGCGTAATGACCAGTTAAGCGTGATAATGAGATTGCGTCTCCTTCACGAGATGGATTAGGGTCTCTATTTAAGGCTAGTTTGGGTAGCACCCCCCCTTTTTAATTTGTCTTCCAAAAAAATGACATAAAAAAGACAAGCTATCAAATTTTAATCTCCATATGTGATTAAGATTTTCTAGCTTGAGCTAGAGTATAATTATATAAAGCATAGAACTAAATATGCTTTATCCATAAAAAATATAAAATTTTAACTAAAAAACGTGATGTGATGGTTTCACATAAAATTTATTCTAACTCATATTATTACATGAGTTTCTTAATAGCTTTTGGATGCCATGATAGAAGTATAACACAAAACAATATTGTAGTCAAAACCAATTATAGTTCTTCGCCTATCAAGATAGATAATAAACACTCCCGATATATTTACGGGAAAGTCCGTTGCCTCTGCCCAAAAGTACTAGTAAACTAGCATAAGTGAATGTGTGCCTCCATATGTATTTTCGGTGTTATAGCTAGTTTGATACTGCACATTAGGTTTTTGTTGAGCTATATATATATATATATATATATATATATATATATATATATATATTCTTTGCATGTAATAAACTTATTCCTTTATATATTCTCAACATAATTATTTGATCTGTAAATTACATTAATGATTACTCCGTATTTTACAAAATTCATTGTGTTTTTGACAAGTTAAGACTTACCACATGAAATGTTCTCAACAATACGGACGTCATCACCCGAATCATCTTTCATCCTAGCTTCTTCAATTCTTTCTTACTATCCATGGCATATGTTCAATCACATAAAAGATGTTATCTGTAGTCCGATCAAAATTAAACATGAAAAGAAGATTGAAATTTGGCAGGCACCATAGGAAGGGCATCAAAGCATAGTAACATGACTACAATTCAAGTTGTATGTGACATGTGGTGGTGGTGGCTGATATGATGGAGGAAAAAAAATTAAAGTTAATGTTGTTTGTCTCCACGGACAGGGCCAAATGGCAAAGGCTACTACTATACACAGTGGTGATGAATAGTGATAAACTTTTGGGGTCCATTCATTATTAAATTGTATATTAAAGTTGGTTGGTACATTATATATCTTACGATCTCAAAACAATCATTTTGGGTTTGATCACTGGTGTGTCGACGGGGTTTGTGCACATGAGAATGGTTTACGCAGCAGTCCCACCATGATTGACTAATGAGTCCTGGGGCTAGGGGGAAGGGGAGTTGGATGGGGATGTATTTTAATCCAAGAGAAATAACATTTTTTTTTTTTGTCTCTGGGGTTAGATTAAAATATAAAATAGATCATAACAGTTTACTTATCAATTGCTTCTGAGTTAGTTGCTGAGTAGTTAGTCGTGTGATTATTTGAAGTGTAGATAATTAGATGAGTTCTACTGCATGTACTATCAAATCTTATTCTCTTAATTTTACTCACTGATGTGGTGAGAAATAGGGAATACACCAAGATTTTAAATGTGGGAATAAAAGTTTAGAGTACACATAACATTTTCCTAATTGGATATGATTCTATATTATTATCAAAGTAATAAATGTGGTCCTCAAATTAAAGCTTTAGTTGATTCCTAAAGGGCTATAAATCCACTATTAATATGTCACTCAATAAAGTGATTTTTTAGTGACGAGTGAAATTCGTAACTACTATTATAAAAAAAAAAAAAAAAAAGTGACTTTTTTTTTTGGTACCTAAAGGTAGTAGGCGGGGCATGGTTTTTGTGTTTGAAGGACACAAGTTCGATCATTGCCAACATTCTCTTGATCGAGCCTTTTGCATATGATCTTCCTCTTGATCGAGTCCGTTGCATATGATCTTCCTAGTGTAGTTTACTTATCCTGTGTGGTTTGTGAGCTAATATCACCATCTCCTGTGTGATTTGTGGGCTAGGTCATATTTTTATACTTAAAATTTAAATTATATAGAAAAAATACTAGTCTCAAATAACTTGAAATAAGATTCACGAATTTTTAACAATTCTACATATACAATAATAATCGTGAATAAAAAATTTATGTGCTTTCTTAAGTGTAAAATATTAAAAAATGCATCAATGTTTTCATAAATAAATAATTATATTTTATAAAATGAATAAATATTTTAAAATCAAAGCTAAAAATCTTGTTTATTGGAGCGAAAAATCAAAATATTTCAAAATACGATAAAAATATTCATAACAAAATATGAAACAAAATTAATTGAATAAAATAATTTGAATATAAAACACATTATAAATTACATATCTTCTATATTGATATGATATTTATAATTTTTTTTTTCTTTTAACTAGATTAATTTCAAGTTTTTATAGAGTAATTTGAATACAATGACCCATAGTAAAAACTTCTAGATTACATAGATCAGACTAAAGGATTCATAAAAAAGTAAAGAGTTAATTCTATTTTTTGTCCTAAATTTATAGGTAATAGCTCGGAAATGTAAGTATTGAATCACTCAACTATAAATAGATTTTAAAGTTATAATTATAAATAAATCTCACAAATTAAAATTTTATTTTCTAGAATTTTAGGGTAAAATGTATAAAGGTGTAATCAAGAGGTATTGATCCCTTGACCTTTAAAATAAACATGGGTCCTAGGCAAGGGCCCAACTTGCTCTTGTCCAGGGTTAGTCCTATGTCTCGGGTAGTGACTACAACACAAAAAAAAAAATGGTTTATTTGGTTCCAAAGAGACCAAAACATCACCCACTTCAATAATAATTGGATACTAATAAATCTACGTCACAAATAATTGAGGGGCTAAATGTAGTATTTTACTTTAATTAGTATTGGTAGCGACTAAAAGTACTATTTTTCCTTAAAGTAGTATCTGTCTTAAATATATATGTCAAAGTTTCTTCACTCGAGTACTAACCCAAATTTTCAATGTTCGTGGCACGAATTGAACCGCCACATTATTACTGTTAGGAATAAGAGTCAAATAGGCCACTGAACTGCACCCGAGAATGCAATTAGGCCATTGAACTTAGAAAACCTACAATTGGGTCCTTAAACTAACCAATTTCATTCAATTTGTTCATTTTTCAAGTTTCTAAGTTGCTAACAAGTTACCCCTCCACCTAAGATGCATGTGTCATTTTTTTTAAAAATAATCTATTTTTAAATTAGTTTTTTAATATTTAATAAATAAAAACTAAAATAATATATTTTTAAATTAGTTTTTTTTTAATGTTTAATAAATAAAAACTAAAATAATTTTTTTTAAAAAAATAAAATAATTTGTTAAGACGTTGTACATGGCTTGGATTTTATTTTCAAAAAAAAAAACAAATTATTTTAGTTTTTATTTGTTAAACATTAAATAATTTTAATTTAAAAATAAATTATTTTAATTTTTATTTATTAAACATTAAAAAAACTAATTTAAGGTTTTCAAAAAAAAAATTAAAAATATTTTTTTTTTTAAATGACACACATGCATCCTAGGTGGAGGGGTAACTTGTTAGCAACTTGAGAAACCTGAAAAATGAACAAATTGAATGAAATTGGTTAGTTTAGAAACCTAATTGTAGGTTTTTTAGGTTCAATGGCCTAATTGCATTCTTGTGTGCAGTTCAGTGGTCTATTTAACCCTTATTCCTTACTGTTAAAAGCAAGTGAAACTTCTTATCTACTAGACTAATATAATGACTTATAATTAAATCATTTCTATATAAGTTAGAGTAAGTGTGAGGGACTTTCTCAACTGAAATATAAGTTGTAATGAGTGGGTCATAATGTAGGGAAATCCATATATTTTAATTTATAAAATCTGGGGATCGAAAATCTTACTTTGTAATCTTAATGAAATAATCACTAATAAATACTTTTTTTTATGAGTAGGATCCTGTGTTCATAGACAAAGGTGGCATGAGAAAGTCAGAAAGATCTCATAAAGAAGAAAAAGATTTCACCTCAAGAAAAAAAAAGGGAAGAAATTAAAGGGTTGGCAGTGGGAAAAGGGTTGGGGTTTTGGGGGTTAAGAATATGATGCTTCTCATTAGTGGAGTTCATACTCACCTTCTACTAAGGAAACATTTCAAGTTTTCATCCATGAATGGACTTCAGCTTATCAATTTCATCACAAGTTCAATTATACTAGTTTAATCTCACCGTCACTTAAATAACCTTAGGGAGTGTTTGGTTCATGGTGTGTGAGATTACCTCAAATAATATAATTATCTCTTGAAAGGTAATGTGAGATTTTGGGAATATAAGATTATATTATACATAACCAAATGCCTTGTGGTTGAGCGGTATAATTGTGACTCTTCAAATGAGAGGTCTCAACTTTGAACCCCAGGTGGTTCTGTACGAACAGATACTACATTATAATAGAGTCAATAGTACTTAAAAAAATGTTTCGTTTGGATTGTATGAATATAATATTATCTTGTTTGGTTAAAAATTATATTTAAGTTTATCAATAATATATATATATATATATATATATATATATATATATATATATAAATGACAAGAATATGTAGAGGGGGGAGAGAAATGACAAAAATGTGTGCTGACTTTTTTTTGGACAAAAATATGCAAAACTCACTTACCACTTGCGTTTTTGGTTGTGTCCCACCGTATTTTTTTTTTCGTTATTTTCGTAAAACGCAAGACATGGTTGCGTTTTTTGTACTGAATACCGTAAACGCATCTACGAAATGCATTTTCATGTTACGTATGGAATACGTTAAACTCATTTGGTAGATGCGTTTTACGTATAATCCAAAATAATACGTAAAACGCAAGTCCGAATTGCGGACTGTTTACCGGCGATGCTCCGCCGAAAATATGAAAAACGCAAGAGTCAATTGCGTTTTTCCAAATATAAAAAAAAAACATCTTTCATTGTTATTACCGCATTTATTAATACTTATAGTCAAACTCGAATAACCTCAAATAACAAATGTACACACAATTAAGAGGATTCGAACCCTAACAAACCACATAATGAACCAAAGGTTCTACCAACTACACTAACTCATCTATTGTTAACACATGCTCCATTTTTAATACTAATTACTCTACTATTTCAACTACAATTACTTCAACAATACACAACGCAACTCACAGTTGCGTTTTACGTTACTTTCTCCTCCCCGGAAACTGGCCGGAAAATTTATAAAAATTACGAACGCAATTACAGTTTGCGTTTTATCAAAATTATAAAAACGCATGTGGTAATTGCGTTTTGTGCTTCGCCGTGCTTCGCCGTTCTTCGCGATCGCCGGAAATTTGCCAGTACAAAAAATCAAAAAAACGCAACTCGCTCTTGCGCTAAGTTGCGTTTTCTGTCTATACCGTATCATCCAGAAAACGCAATTACTAAATGCGTTTTACGTATACAAATACGTAAACGCAACCATGTCTTGCGTTTTACGAAAATAACGAAAAAAAAAAAATACGGCGGGCCACAACCAAAAACGCAAGTGGTAAGTGAGTTTTGCATATTTTTGTCAAAAAAAAAAAAATGCAACACACTTTGGGAAATTTCCTAGTTTGACTACACATTCTTGTCATTTATCCTATATATATATATATATGTATATATATATACATATATATATATATATATATATATATATATATATATGTATATATATATATATGTATATATATATATATATATATATATATATATATATATATATATATATATGTATATATATATGTTATTATTATTATTATTATTATTATTATTATGATTATTATTATTTAAGGACTAGTTAACTATGAAAAAGTTAATATTTCAAGGCAATTTTAGATTAACTAAGAAAGTAGAGGTAATCACGTTACCTTGAAACATTACTGTCACATCAGTTTTGGAGTAATATAACATTAACAGGTAATCTCATATCTTAACTAAACAAGTTAATATAATATTACTAGACTCACATTACCTAGATAATCTTATATTACATGAACTAAACGCCCTCTTAATGTATAATCAACAACAAAATATGATATCTGTGAGCATAGTAAACAGTATAAGTTTTGTCAGCTTGAAACATGTTTGATATTGTGTTAATGAGTTAGATTTAAACAATATATAATAATTTTTCTATAATTGAGTTTGGTGGTGTGGAGCTGCAGGAAAGGAGTGGTTTGTGACGAGGCCAATTTGTACTAAAGCATCAAATTGCTTCTCCCCCATTGCCATTGGTTTAAAGACCAAGTACTTCCAACAAGTTGCTTAATAAAGTGAAAAAAAGGGTGTTGTTGGCTAAAGTGGAAAACTTGTACCACAATTCCAAACAGTAATATCCTCCAAAAGTGCCAATAAATATACTGTTTTCCTTACCATCATTAACACTCACAACTCAATCATTCAATTCCTTGCTAATTTTGTTGCTAGCTCCATCAATTACTTGCTAGTTTTGATCTTAGGTGTGGCAATCTTCATAACTTTTGACTGTGATATCGTGTTGTATGTTACTTTATAAATTCCATGTCGTTAAAGTGTGTATTATAAAGGAACTATACTCGATCACGTTCCTGATCAGCTAAACAACTAGTATTTAGATCTAAGCAAAATTGCACCAGCAATCACTACACGAGGATCTGTACTAGGTAAACCACGTATTATGACTCTAATCGACAAAGGACCACATGGAAGTAAAGTAGCTTAGCCCATTGCTGATCGGTTCAAACCAAGAAGGCCAATAAGTCGCTCTTTGGGAGTCGAACTTGTAATCTTGTTATTGTTGTCAACAGCATGACTAGGCTTGGCGTTACTGATCTAAGCGAAATTGCATAGGCTGTCCACCCTTGAGATTCACCCCATTGGCGGTGGATATGGCTAAGGGCAAGCCGATAGATGGCAGTGCCTTTGCGAGGTTACAGGTTCAATCCTTAGCGTTTCACATCCCGCAATGCTTATGATGGGGTGTTATCAAGGTTGATGTTCTTGTTGAATCTAGTGAATGCCATAAAAATTCCTGATCCAAGAGGGCTTGGTGAATATACAAAAAGAGTAAAGGATAGTGACAGGCAAATTGTGCCCTAAACCAGTTAATTATATCATTTGCAAAAAGCTTTGTTGAGAACCATAAGGTGCCCACTAACATTACATCCAATAGTGTGTTCTCAAAGTACACAAAAACAGTACCCCCCAGTGAGATGTTTCATTTTCAATATGGCATTTCCATATGGTCTGCACTTCCTACAAACAAACACATCCTTACTCAAGACTAAATCAAAAGGCAACAAAACAACATATTCACAGGGCAAATAGGAAAGTGACAGTAAAAAAACAAAAAAACAAAAACAAAAACAGAAGACTAAGCTGCTTGTAAACTTCATAAAACCATTTCTTCTTCAGCTCTGGTTTTCAAGCAAAAGGGTATTGCTGTGCAGCTGACTGTATCGGGAAAGCCATAGTTTGAGACCCGAAGATGGATTCGTGCATCGTTTGAGGTCCAAACGCATACGCGAACAAATTCCCAGCAGGCAATCCACTTATGGCCATCCCGACGTTTCCCTGATGATTCCACGAAAACGGCCTTTTGTGCACACCAGAATCAGGCGGCTGCTGTGGCTGGGATAGCGCCCCGCCTGCTTGATCCGGGGAATCATCGCACCGCTTCTTGGTGTCGGGTGAACCCATCAGATGCTCATCAACGTTCACCGTGGTTATGTCGTGAATGCTAGCTCTTCTCTTGTCCTTCCCTCCTGAATTCTGCCTGATGAAGAACTTCTGAGCATGGCTGGCTACTTGTGTTGGGGTTCTCGTAATCACGAAATTTCGCGAAATGTTCCTCCAATCCCCTTTCCCATGCTTCTTTAGCCCCATCAGAAACAACCTGCCACAACAAAATCATTCAAAAACCCCTTGTGAATTCCATCACTGCAAATCTGCATCAGATCAGTACTAAATTAAACCACATCATAAATGTTGAGTATATAGCCATTAATGTGCAATCCAACTATCACCTTTTATCTGGCTCTGATACCAAATTGAAGCATGTGCTCCATCTCAACTAAAAGCCTAAGCTTATAATTGGATTGCATGCCTATACGCTCAACAATAAACAACAATACCTAAAACCTTTCCTCTAGTATCTTACATTGAAAACTATTACTCCTAGTCAACAAGTTTAATGAATGTGACATATTATTTGATTATAACTAGGTTGTTCAATGTTCATACTTCATACATAAATGTTAGTCCAAAAGGCATGATCAAGAATTGGTATCAAAAGTTAAAGGAAGGAACTTTAATGTCTGATTATAACTCACTTGTGCTCTTCTTCAGTCCATGGAACACCCTTCTTCCGTTCATGCTCCGGGGCGCGGTTCGCCGGCGGTCTCTTCCCTCCGGCGACAAAAGCCGGCCGGTGGGCACCACCCCATTCCAATGTAAAAGGTGAAGAGCTGGTATAATCAGGAATGGGAATCAAGTCCATGAGACCAGCCTCTATGCTGGTAACATCATCTTCCAATTCCTTGTACTGCCGGATAACATCCACCACCGTCTTTCCGGGCACCATCTCCGCCACCCTCTCCCACCGGTCCGGCGTGTCCTTGTCGTACAAAGCAAGAGCCTTCTCAAACGCCTTGTTCTCTGCCGGAGTCCATTTTGTTCTGCTACAGCTTCCTTCATGAAACCAGCTTGAGCTTGACAGATAAGATGAATCCGGTGAGAGAATCCCCATCTCCCACTTCATCCCAACCCAGACAAGAAAAAAAAAAAAACCCAAATTTCACAGATTAATGAAAAAAGAAAAAAGAATCAGAGATTTTCCATTGTTGATATTTGAGAGAGCAGTGAAGAAACAGAGATGGAGGTTCCACAATGGCAATATCAGTGTTTAATCAAGAAGCATTTGGAGAGGAGAATCAGAATATTTTTCCCATTTTTTTTTCTTTTGTCTTTTTAATTCTATCCACCCCCCTTCAACCCCCTTCAATGAGGAATCTAAAAAAGACACCTTTTTCCAAATCAAATAAAAAAAAATCTTGAAAACAACTGATTACAGAATCCAAATACAAGAAATTTATACTAAGATTTGAAACGACCAAAATCCCAGAATTAAAAAAGGATAAACCCCCAAAATAAAAAGAGAACTTTCCAGAATTTTGTAACAGAAGACAGCTGAAACAAAACTCTGAGTTTCTGAGAAGCTTGAGGCTGGGGTTTTGTAGAGAGAAAAGTGGGAAAGTTTGGTACAATTACTGCCTTTTTCCCCTTGATGTATGAGAAAAAAGAAAGCCAGAAAGCCAGAAAGCAAGAAAAAAATATGGTCAGAATGAGAGAGCAATAAAGAAAGCAGAGAGCTCCAAGCAATAAATCTCTGGAAGGAATTATTATTCACTTTCTGAGAAGACAAATCTTTGGAGAGAGACAGGGGGAGCTGTAAAACAGAGAGAGAGGGCTGAAGATGGTGGTGACTCGTGATTGGTTGAGAATGGAGTTTTGGTGATTCTACAAACTGATAGGAAAAAAGTTCACTTATTATATTGCTCACTCCTTGTAGTCTTTCTTTTCAAAATAAAAAATAAAAAAATAAAACAAATAATAATTATAATAAAATTTAAACAAGTTTCATTTATTTATTTTATTTTGTTTGTTTTTTATTTTGTTTGTTTTGATTGTATTTGTTAAGTAGAAGTATGAGTTGGCTGCTATGATCATGATGGCTTGTGGAACCTCATCTAGGCATAGAAAATTCTTAGTTGAGTGCAAATTCTTACTTTAGATTGTGTAATAACTCACAAACTACACAATATGTGTTAGGCTCGACTGAGAAGATATTGGCTCTATTTGGTAAAATAGTTAGCTTATCAGTCAATTTTGACTTATTTGACCATTATTAATTGTTTGATTTGGTTAAAAAAAAATCAATATAAGTGTTTGGTTAATTAACTTTTGTGTCCAAAATGCTAAAATTCAAAAAGTTGTAACAGATATCAGCTAACAGCTAATTTACTGAGGTTCTGTTTGGTCGGGCTTATTTAGGAGCTTATAACTTATTTTAAGCTACTAATAAGCTATAAACTCTGTTTGGTAATGTTTCCAAAATAACCTCCTAGCTTCCTAACTTCTTTGCCATATCTATCCTTATTATTTTAAAGAAATAACATAATTTATCCTTCCCAATTAAAACCTTTTCTCTTCTTCTTTATTCGCAACTTTCACCGCAAATATTATTATTATTATTATTATTATTATTATTATTATTATTATTATTATTATTATTATTATTATTATTATTATTATTATTATTATTATTAAATTTGCAACAATATTGCTACTTCATTATGAGATGCAAGATCATGATTATGCTAATAATTTTATTTCAAAATGTTAACTTTTTTTAAAGACAAAATGTTAAATTTTGATAGGTAAACAAACTAATTTAAATTTTATGAAGATGTCCTTTTTAGTCTTTTTACATTTATCAGCTTATCAAAAAGCTAATTTTACCAAACACTTTCAATCATAACAGCTAGCTTAACAACTCTTCAGTTTTCAGTTCCGAGCTTATAGTTTTTCAGCTTTTAGCTCATTTTCACCTTTCAGCTCCTAGCTTATAGCTTTTCAGCTAGGTTTGCCAAACAGTGGCCAAACATCTTTCTACAATCAATTAATATTATAAGTAGTTATACTATTTAATTAACCCAATCAGCTAACAACTAACAGTCATTTACCAAACAGAATCGACAATAATTGAACACATAACTTTTAAGTAAGAAAATCATGTTCCACACACTCATATTTTACAAGTACCCAAATTTACTTGTATTGTTGCTTGTTGGTCATCTCTAAATACAAGTTATATCCACGACACTAATCTGTAATCAAAATCCATATAATTATGTAAGTGAGTTTTACTACATGTACTTCAAAATCTTATTCCTTGATGTGGCGAGCTTGATAAATTATTTTTTCTATGTGGATTTTAATACAAATGTATATACTTTTGTGTGTGTTAGTAAAAAATTAGGGTGCCCCATAGCATTTTCTTATGTAAGTAGCGGCTAATTAATATTATTACACCAATCATATTAAAGCATGCAGTGAGAGTATATAGTTTAATATTTGTAAAGACAAAAATGAAATATGTATGTATATATTGAGTCTGAATTAGAGGTAGGGTGGACCCCAATCCCAGAAAACAAATGACCATTAGTCAATGGGGGATTAAGTGTTTTTGCTACACCACTAAGTGTGTTTTGTAGTATTTGAGACTATTTATATGTTAGTGACATTTGTGTAATTAGCAATATAATAATAATGGGATTCTATTCCATGACTCATGTTGCTGTCAACGGGCTATAGTCCCCTACCAATCATCGTGAACACATCATGATAATTTGGTCAATCTGCCCCTAATTATGATTAGCCTTTGACTTCTTTTCTTAATAAGGTTTTAAAGTAGCTAGCTAACCACTCATCATCACACTTTATTCCCCCTCCCCCCAAAGTTTGTGCCCCTTCACCATACTTTTAAATCTTTATTTCCTTTCATAACATTAATATTTGTTTGTTCAGGTCTTTTTCTATCCATTTAATAATCTAGGTCCACCCGATTAATCCCCGAAGCATGGGAGTTAGTCCAAAGAGTCTTTTTAAGTTGGTTCAAAGGGTCTTTCTCTATCCGTTTAACGATCTAGGTCCACCCGACTAACCGTTTATTCCGAGAGGTATGGGAGTTGGTCCAAGGGGAATCGTCACTTGCGAAAATTGAACCCGAGTTATCTCAAAATTTCTCCTCCACAAAGAGAGCTCATTTACCACTTGAGCTACCCTGTTGGGTTTCATAACATTAATATTTGAAGTTATGTTATTGTCACATTGATTAAATATTGGTTTGTTAATCAAAATAATAAAGTTTATAGGTTAAAAAAAATTGTCTATCGATCTTGTTATAGAGACTGGTGGATGAAGTAAGTAAAATGTGTCTCATCTGGCTTATATGCATTACAAAAGAGTTCTTCAAAATTGCTAAAATGAGTGCGCGACACAGAGAGTCTTAATTAACCTTGCGCTTTACTAATATAATAAAAATTCAAATTCTTTTGCTAAACGAAGCAAACAAAGGTTGTTCCGTATTATTAACCTAAACTTGATGGCTTGTATCTGGCCGTTACTAACAAAGCAAAATTTATGAATTTATTTTGAATTGATCGTCTAGTTGAGCTGTGTTTAGAATAGGAATTTTATGGAGTGATAATTGGCAAATTTGATTCTCCAATGCCTAATCCACAATTCCACACAGTCCAACATCTAGAAGCCCAAAACCCAAAATTTAAAGCCCATTTGCAGGGACCAAATAAACTCTAGCCTTAATGACGGAGCCATTAGCGAGCTTAAAGCCGGGGGTCACCGGAAAACCAACGACGAGTCCCATCCCCATTCTCCCGCCGATTCCATTTGAACACTTGGCCACGCTTTCCATGTACTGCGAGTGAAACTTGGATCCCCGGATGGCCTCGAAATGGCTGGGCGCCGGGTCTAGCGAGAACGCCAGCAAATGCAGCAGCCACACCTCCTTGGCCACCCACAAGAACTCGTTGTAGAACGGCGTCCTGGGGTGTTTTCCGGCGAGGACGTGGCGGCGCTGCTCCATGTCCCCGAACAGAGACTCCTCCATCTTGGGGTGCACCATCGTGAGGAATTTCTTGAAGCAGAAGTTGCCGAAGCTGCAGGTGGGCAGAATTCCCAGAAGCTCGACGGGATCTAGGGCTTTCATGTCGCGGTACTGGGCGAAGCAGTCGCGGCGGTGCTGCTCCGGGTGGAGGAGCGAGGCGTAGCGGCTGTCCATGTAGAATGTCTCGTTGTCGAAGCCTTGGAACATTTTGCGGTTCACGTAGGACTCCAGGGCGAATTTTGCGTGGTTGATTCCGACCACTGAGTCCGCCGCCGTGGCGGCGACGGCGGTGGAATGCGCGGCTTCGATGGATCTCACGGCGGCCGCGATGTCCCAGTGGGCTGAGCGCATGAGTGAGAGGAGTGAAGCCGTGAAGGATTTTGAAGCTTGTTTTACTAAGCTCGTCGCCGCTTCGAAAAGCTCCGGCGCCGGCGACATCGACACTGTACCGGCGAATTTATCTTTAGTATGTGAAATGACAAAAATGCACCTAAGGAAATATTAAATTGAGTTGTACTTGTACCTTGTGGTGCTTGAGTGCTGCAGTTGACTTTTCGTTTTGACTTGGCCTTCTTTCCGCCGTTGCTATAAGACGACACCGTTTTGAACTTGTCCTTTAAAATAACGATCTCCGCTTCTTTCGCTTTCAGTTTTCTCCTCATATCATCCACCGCCGCCTCGTACGGCGCCACCACTTCCCTCAAAGTCGCCGCCCCGACTCTCCACCGCCCTCTTCCCCCGCCGCCGATACTCCTCCAAAACCTCTCCCTCAACACCGCGAGGCGCCGCAGCTCCGACACCACCGCCATGTCCGCCACGCTCATCTTCTCCGGATCCCAAGGGCAGTGCGCCTCCTGGAGGCTAACGTACGCGCTCTTCATCGCCAACACCGCGTCGAACACTTCCCCCATTATCATCTCCATCTCGATCACCCTCTCAGTCCTCGGCTCCCCGCTCTCGCCGTCCCATACGCTCATCAGCTCTTCATCGTGATCTTGCTCGTCTCCCATATCCATCTCCTTCTCCTCCTCCGACTCATCGCCGCCGCGGCTGACGGAGATGTCGTCGATCTGGAACGGCTGGAGCAAGCAGGATCCCGTGAATCTCTGTATCAGATGAGAGAAATTCGAGACCTTGTTCGCCATTTTCTTTATGCCTCTGAAATTTTCAAACAAAATTAAAACCAAGTCAAATGCCATGCCATGCCATGCATCTATTATCTATATATCCCTGCTTTGGTAATCAAATTCTGGACAGGAAACCAACAATTGCTACTCGAAGGTGCATACTGTAAATCTCATTTTTTCTATTTTTTTTTTTTT